GCGCACGCCGTCTGTACGGACACATATTGACGGCCAGAATGAATGTCGACGGACACAAAAAGATGGGAATGTTTTTCCCCTCGTCTGAGGCTCAGGAGGAACTGATGCGCATGACGTACACCGACGCCAACATCGATCCCAAAAAGATCACCTATTTTGAAGCCCACGCCACCGGCACCAAGGTGAATTACATTTATAGTTGCTATCACTATTATTTGCCTCTTATAAATGGTGTATGGTTATACTATTCTTTATAACTGATAGTTTTTAATTATTATATTGAGTGTGTTGTGAATCTATTATAAAACCCATGTATGTCTTTGTTTATCAACTGGTTTAAAATAATTTGTGATAAACAGGCGGGCGATCCTCAAGAGATGAAAGCGATATACAACGCGTACTGTGAGGGCCGGACTGAGCCCTTGCCGTTGGGGGCGTTGAAGAGCAATATGGGTCACTCGGAGGCCGGCTCTGGCGTCGCGTCTATTATTAAAGTGATGATCGCTTACGAGAATGAATGCATTCCTCCGAACATTAACTTAAATCAATTAAAGGGAGATTTAGAAAAATATTTCCCACCACTACTGGCCATCACTGAAAAGTATTCGTACACCCCTGGTAACTTTATTTTTATAAGATATAGTCATAATCATCACTGGTTTTATTTACACAATCGTGTAAATTTTTATAAACAAGAATTTTGTAATTTATACTCTATTTGCATATTAATCATAGATAGTGCACATTAATATAAAAGTGGGGCTTATTATAAACCTGAATAACCATTTGAATAAACTTTTAACAAATATATTATTTTGAGTATTCAAAGGGGAGATAATTACTACAAATATAGTAACGATTATCGTGAATAATAGTGCAAAAATTGACTTAATGACTCAATAATCACGTCTAATTTCATCCCTGCCTTCCTTCAAACCAGTGATGGTCATAATATATACCAAAATTAAATACTAAAATGAAAATGTTTTTACGTATTGTGTTTAGGTCTCGCCGCTGTTAACAACTTTGGCATCGGTGGTTCAAACGCTCACGCCTTGTTTGAACCAAACTATAAGTTGGAAACCAATGATAAGTTGAGAATTGCGGAAACGATTCCCCGAATTGTCAACATTTGCGGCCGAACTGAAGATGCGGTCAAATATGTGATGGATTTCATACAAAACAACCCAAAGAGAGTGACGAATGACTTTTTGGCACTTTTGGCACCCGTTATGAAAACCACACCCGATATTAATTCTGCCGGAANCGTGACTAGAACATAGAAATTTCTGGGTCATTTCGAAATGCCATATTTTTAGCCCCCTTGTAAGGGGGGTCGGGGAGGGGCGGGTATGCTATTTGGAAGAGGAGATGTGAAAGTATATTATAGCAAAATTTGGTTAAGATTACTTCAGCCATCTACGAGAAATTGTCAATTTTATTAACATTATGTCTATGGGATAAAATTGCTAAAGAGTCGTAAGTTTTAAACTACGAAAATGTAGTATAAAAAGGTCCAAATTGGGCCATTTTTGTCCAAATATTGTGTCAAATTTCTTGAATATTTTGTTCGTTACGGAAGAATATTTATTCAATGTTTATGAAACTTTGCTATAATATACTTTCACATCTCCTCTTCCAAATAGCATACCCGCCCCTCCCCGACCCCCCTTACAAGGGGGCTAAAAATATGGCATTTCGAAATGACCCAGAAATTTCTATGTTCTAGTCACGTGAGATGAATAATTTTTTCCGATAAAATATTTGATATATGGGACATCATTTTACCGTTTACAGATTTGAGCTAGCTCATCCCGTTTGGGAAATATTGCAAATTCAGATTGGAACAAAGATATTGGCCGCCCATATATTAATGTAACGCATATTAAATGGCGAATTTTTAATAATAAAATCTCGTATGGTTTGTTTTAATTATAATGTATAAGTAATTAAATATATGTATTACCAAAACTTTTAATAATCTTTGTTAATGTTCTAGTCACGTGAGATGAATAATTTTTTCCAATAAAATATTTGATATATGGGACATCATTTTACCGTTTACAGATTTGAGCTAGCTCATCCCGTTTGGGAAATATTGCAAATTCAGATTGGAACAAAGATATTGGCCGCCCATATACAATGGTCTAGCCCATCACCGTTTAAATTTACACATATGTGTAAACCGTATAGGAATTATACATTATAAATGGGGGGTCGTATATTAAATGCAACAGTCTTGGTCTAGTCTATTTGTGTCAAACTTAATAAATCTTAAAAAGACACATAGGAAAGACTTTATTCTTTTTGCGGTCTAAAAGAATGACAGTCCTTCTAAAAAATGTTTTGGTCATCCTATGTGAAACGTTTAATTATTATTATGCAACTGAAACTTAAAGTTTAGTTGGTCATTTAAAAGTAAAACATTAAATATAATAATATAATGAGATATTATATTATTACCATGATTTGCTAAAAGTAGGCTTTGCCTACATGCACCCATAGACATTACATTAGTCCATTACAATAGAGTGGCTCTACAGTGGCTCCTTTGGCATACCATGATTATTACAGTATTCGGACATTTACATATATAAATAATTAATTTTGTGATTTTATTTTAAAATTATTTTTTAAATTGTAACTTAATTATTAATTTAATTTTTAGGTCCAAAGAAAGAGATGTCAGAAATGATCAAACGATTGGAAGAAAAGGCAGTATTTGTGCGACAGTTAGAGAGCAGTGAAATCCCATATCATTCACAATATCTGATCACATCTGCAAAGCCTATGACTGAAGCCATTAAGAAATATATACCAAACCCGAGACTCCGGTCCCGGAAATGGGTGTCCACTTCACTCATGTCTACCGATCCCAGCGATGAGGCCTTGAAATACGCTTCGGCCGAGTATTTCGTATACAATCTCATGAATCCCGTGCTCTTCATAGACAAACTCAAAGACCTGCCGACAGATGCTATTATACTAGAGTTGAGTCCGCACTCTATATTCCCTAAAGTAGTGTCCGAAACGCTGGACAACTCAACGTACGTATCATTAATCAAGAAAAACGCAAACGACACTAATTTGGACACATTTATGGCTGGATTGGCCACTCTATACGAGTCGGGCGTCAATCTGTCCATTGAAAAGCTATACCCATTGGTTGAGTGGCCGGTCGCCCGAAACACACAGTCCATCAGTTCGCTCATGCGTTGGGATCACAGCCGCAAGTTTGAGATTAAACTCTATCCGCAAAAATACTGTCGACTCACAGCCGGTGACTATAATTTCCCGGTCGACCCGTCAATACATCAAGGTCACGTATTCTACCAATTTCGTATACAATCTGATGAATCCCGTGCTCTTCATAGACAAACTCAAAGACCTGCCCACAGATGCTATTATACTAGAGTTGAGTCCGCACTCTATATTCCCTAAAGTGGTGTCCGAAACGCTGGACAAATCAACGTACGTATCATTAATCAAGAAAAACGCAAACGACACTAATTTGGACACATTCATGGCTGGATTGGCCACTCTATACGAGTCGGGCGTCAATCTGTCCATTGAAAAGCTATACCCAGTGGTTGAGTGGCCGGTCGCCCGAAACACACAGTCCATCAGTTCTGAGTACGCAACCCTAGTGTCGGCGTTCAAACTCTAATTTGAGATAGGCGTTTTTATGACAGCTGAGTGTCGGCCACTGATATTAAAGGGCCAGCTGGGCAGTTATGTAGTTCCAGTGCATAAGATGGTTGATCACGTCATTGATGGCAACGCCCTCTTCCCGGCCACCGGCTATTTAATGCTCGCGTGGCGTAAACTGGCCACCAGTCGGGGTAAGCCGTGGTATCAGTTGCCCGTTATTTTTGAGAACGTTCAGCTCAAACGCGCCGTATTCTTGAATGATGTCAACAAAACTAACCTCAGAGTCAAATATTTTCCCAACACTGGTATTGTTTGCAATCATTATTTTAAATCTAATTATCATTTTTAACACTATTTTTGCATTAATCAAACCCAATCTCCTGTCCACACATTATACTCTATCCCTATTCACAGACGAGTTCTTTGTGTTAGAGAACGATAACGTGTGTGTTGTGGGCAAAGTGCGCACTCCGGACGACGAGGTCTTACTCACGCCTAACGCTATATTTGAGAGACAGAAACTGATGGCCAGTACTCAGTACTCACTCGACAGGAAATAGAGAACGATAACGTGTGTGTTGTGGGCAAAGTGCGCACTCCGGACGACGAGGTCTTACTCACGCCTAACGCTATATTTGAGAGACAGAAACTGATGGCCAGTACTCAGTACTCACTCGACAGGAAAGATATCTATAAGGATTTGGGAGTTCTGGGCCTCGACTACGGACCACACTTTCAGCGCCTCCGACGCATTCAGACCAACGATTTCCGCAATATTTATGGCATCAATGAATGGGACGGAAATTTTGTCACTTATTTGGACGCAATGTTGCAGTCGATCGCATTCACCATTCCGTTCCGTAAAATAATGATTCCAATGATGATTCGGGCCATACGTGTAGACCCGCGTGTGTTCTTCGAGAACGTCCATCGAAACCGAAATGTAGAGCAAAAACATATAGAGGATATGGATGTCGAGCAGTCGTTTGCGGCGAACGTCGCGCCGGTGATCGGAGGTGAAGCGGTTGATGCCGCTCTGGTCATGAAGATGGACGCGAAGACACTCAACGACGTCAAACAGATATACGGGGAAGAGATGACCAAAAAGAGAGAGCGCTTCTCAGTCTTCTCGGCTGATATGCCGTTTCATTTCAACGCAAAGTCCAAACGACTGGTCGCTCACGGCTTAGAAATGGAGGACGTGATTGGCTTCCCTATACCCAGACGTACGGACGGCACGGATCTGGTGTTAGACACGTATCAGTTTTTTCCCAATGAAGATCTCGAAGCCGTTGACCCAATTGATAAACGGGTGGCGAATGAGTACATTGAGGTAAGTTTTGGCGCGTTTTGGTTAATGAAGTGATTGACATTTAATATGTTTTTATCAGGTGTGTAAAGCAATGGCCGCTAAGATTAAACAAATTGGATATAAAGACATTAAATGCGATTTTGATTACCAAAACATTAGCGATGATGTGATACAAGAGTATAGGACAACAAACAACGAAAATCATGTATTGTTTCGTATATTTGATAAAATACTGACAGAAGTTGTCGACGAAAACAAGGATTTGAAAAACAGTAAAGAAGTAATGAAAGTATTGAAGGATATAGAAAGCGGTGCCGAATATGATCTCAATAAAGATCTGATTAATCAGATCCAGAAGAATGAGCACATGATTAGAACTATGGTTGATATCGTGTGCGAAAACTTTGTGTCAATCAAAGAGATGAAAGTGACAGAAATTAATCTCTCGTCCGGTGTTTTGGCCAAAGAAGTGGATCACATTATGTCACTCTTCCGTATTATTCCATACGATGTCGACTATAAACTTGTAGTGAAATCAAAACAACATTGCATTGATATGTATAAGAATTTTGCCACAGAATGGGACCCGAAANGAAATTAATCTCTCGTCCGGTGTTTTGGCCAAAGAAGTGGATCACATTATGTCACTCTTCCGTATTATTCCATACGATGTCGACTATAAACTTGTAGTGAAATCAAAACAACATTGCATTGATATGTATAAGAATTTTGCCACAGAATGGGACCCGAAAGACGATATATCCCTAAAATCCTCGCATTTGGTTGTATTGAGAGACTCACAAGACTTGTGGCAAAAAGATATGCAATCATTTGCTCAGAAGATCTATGATTGCCTGCAAACCAATGGATTTACCCGAAAGACGATATATCCCTAAAATCCTCGCATTTGGTTGTATTGAGAGACTCACAAGACTTGTGGCAAAAAGATATGCAATCATTTGCTCAGAAGATCTATGATTGCCTGCAAACCAATGGATTTTTATTATCTATATTTCGGTATAAGTTTACGGAACCGGAGATTGCGTTCAATTCGTTGAACGGAAAAGCGATTTATAATAATGTGTTTCTCGAGAATCGGATCAAAGAGTTTATAACAATTTGCAATAAAATTGGACTCAAATTAATTTGTACTAAATATGATACAATTGGAAGCTTTGGCCTATTGTTTAGAAAACTCGTGAATAAGTTAGAAATGCCAGATAAAAGTAATGTCATTAGAGTTACGACAAATTACGAGCAATGGTTTGAAGTTTTGCAGCAAAAGTTGATTGCCGCAAAAGAGGCGGACAATCAAACCGATAACGTATGGCTTATAGCCGACGACTTGGGTATTAATGGAATCGTAGGGTTAGTCAATAGTATGCGATTAGAACCGGGCGGAGAAAACTTCAGATATATATTCAATATGGACTCCAATAGTGAGACAAACATTGACTTCACTACTAAACCCTATTCTGATATATTGGCCAATGATTTGGTCGCGAATGTTATCAAAGGGGGAAAACTTGGAAGTTATAGACACATAAAACTACCCAAAGATAGTGATAAAGTCGTTTCCAACGAGTATTATCTAAATTTGGGTCAAACCCGAGATCTCGCAGGTCTTCAATGGTATGATTTGAGATCTCTTTCACCAAAACGAGAAACATATGATTTCAACGGACAGAAAGTGACCAAAAATAAAATAAACATTTATAGCACCGGACTGTCGTTCCACGACGTTATGTTGGCTACAGGTATGCAAATAATAATGATGGTTATAGTTTAACAAACTAATAATAATTATATAAATAAAGGTCGTATCCCATCGGGTCCTGAGGTTGTATTCATGGACTGTACAATTGGTAATGAATTTGCCGGTCGTTTGGCCGAAACGGGTGAAAGGGTTATGGGTATGGAATCGGGCCGTTGTTTCGCAACATCGATATACGCAGCGACTCATACTTACGCTAAAATCCCTGACCACTGGTCTATGAACGATGCCGTCTCTATATTGAGTACTTATAGTACAGCTTATTATGGATTGATTAAAGCCGGAAGACTTAGGAAAGGTTTGTATGAAATCCATAATCCATAATAATATAGTAAGCCATACTATTTGTATAGTTCGGTGCAGTGTATGTTATGAATAGGCCTAACAGTATATAATACAGTCTACTCTACGGTTGAAAAAATTCCCGGAATATAATAAATATTCCCAATTGGGAATATTCCCACTGGGAATATTCCCGGAACGTTTCCACCCAAAAAGCTCACTCACCAGATGGCGCCAGTAGTAAAGTGTGTTGACCCCCACATTTCACCCCCATTTTGCCCCCAATTGGGGGTGATTGGGAATGTTCCCAAAGGGAATAAATATATATTCCCAATTTTCCCAGGGAATATTCCTAGGAACATTCCTTTGGGAACAATTCCCAGTAGGAATTTTCAACCCTAGTCTACTCCCTTTGTTAGCAATATGTATAGTTTGACCAGATTAATAGGCATTATGCATATATGCGTTACATTTGAATTTACATTTGACTCATCACTAGCGAAACCAGAAAGTTGCACCTTTGTTGCAACTTTATATATATTATAGCGTTACTGGATATTTATGAATATGTCTATTGGCTTATGAGTCTTGCATTTGTGGTAAAAATATACAAATGAATCATTCTGCAATATATATGAAAAACATGACTGGTTTCCTTACTCATCACTCAATAGACAGCAAATATAAGCTAACGCTAGAGTCAGTGAAGCGTAAAATGATTTCAATCAAAAACACATTGACTGACCACTTATTAGTAAAGGAGGATGTATTAGACTCTATGTTAATTTGCCTAAAAAAATAATTTTTGTTTAACCCTCTGGAAAAAAGTTACTTTGATGGTATAGTGGCCGATTTTTTGTCCAAAGTTAATTAAATGCCATTTTCGTTATGTTACTAAACATATGTTAAATTAGAAGTTAAATGATAAAGGTCAGGATGACAACCCGACGTCAAATTCGGCAATAGTGTCCACTATTTTCGGTAAATATAAACATATTTAAAATTAACATATGATATATGAAATCAATGTAGAATTTAACGTAGAATCAGAATATAGTAATAGCACATTAGTGAAATCAATAGATTTGTTATAATTTGTGTAAAACTACTAAAATTTATTAAAATAAATTATTACATCATACCAACAACACCACCACAACCCGGACTACCATCCACAACAACAATTCCACAACCCGACCACCACTCACGACATCACCAACACAACCCAGACTTAATTTTCTGTCAAGGTTGTGAAATTCACTCGCCAGGGTTATCGGGGTCATTCTCAGGCTAGAATCGCGTCTCCCTCACCAGTAGCAGGTTGAGGAACCATCGGAGCACTGGTGGCAGACTCCGAATGGACCAAATCAATTTTGTACACAGAAAGCTCCATTATTACAAAAAGAATTAATTTCAACTAAAAAATATTTATTCTTTTTAATATATATATTTCTTATATTTTAATACTAATTCAAGAATATAACGTGATTTTTAAGAAATTATCAATAAACAACTTCAAAATAATAAAAAATGAAATTATAATTTCTTAATTTTGAGATAATTTAAAAACCATATGTTCCATGCAAATAATAATTATATATTCTAATTCTATGTTCAATTCTACATTGATTTAATAAATTACATGTTAATTTTTAACAAGTTTAAAGTTCCCGATAAAAGTGGTCACTACCGCCGATCCCGAGGTCGGTCGGCCATATGGATTATATCAATGGACTCCTTATGAAATGTACTTTCATTTTATATTGTCAAATCCCGGGTGCAAGCTTAGGCAGATTTGGACATCCTCCTTTAAATTTGGAAAAATTTATTGAACTTCACTAATAAATTACGAGTTATAAATACCTTATTATTATCTAGCTATATTATAATTAAACATTAGGAATTGCCCGAAATTACGGCTCGTAATTTATTAGTTAAAATATTATTGAAATAATTTTTTGTCAAACTTAAAAATGAGTGGTCACTTATGAGTTTTGTATTTTATTTTATGAGTGAAATGCGATTTTACGCTTTTCTGACTTTCTAGCGTTGGCAGTGATATCCTTATTTCTAATCACATCAATGTTTCATTTTGTTTATTTGTTTGTTAAATAATATACTTGATTACGTTTGTTTATAACGTTATGTACAGTATAAGACATGTAAACATGATTATTAATTACATTGATGTATAACAGGTGAAAGCATTTTGATACACTCGGCGGCCGGAGGTGTGGGGCAGTCGGCTATCAATATCTGTAAACACTATGAATGCGATATATATGTGACGGTCGGTAACGACGAGAAGAAACAGTTTTTGATAAATGAATACAATATACCGGAGAATAAGATATTCAACTCAAGAGATATACTCTTCAAGAATCAGATAATGGAAGCGACGGAAGGAAAGGGAGTCGACGTTGTGTTGAATTCATTAACTGGAGA